AAAACTGATATTTTTTGTGTCTATACTTGAAATCGTATCTTGAAACTTTAAAAAATGCACTTCAAATCCATCTTCTCGAAGTTTATCAATAGCTTCTGCAATGTGAAGACTTTCAGGAGCAACTTGTTCTACTTCTAATTGCCATTTTCCTTCACGTAATGGACCAAGTAAGCAGTATTGGTCGCCATACTCTTCGGTGGTGATTGCTGCTTTGCTACGAATTACTGTGTAAATGCCACCAACCTCAAGAGTAAAAATATACTCAAAATTAACTGTTCATTTTTGTAAGTCAAAATGAAAAATTGCAAGCATAACTTGCTGCAATTCAATTAATCCTTCATAATAAAATTGATATTATTTTAAATCCAAACACAAATTATGATAAAAATTAACTTTTTTCTAACAGGTTAATTTCCATTTTATGAGAAATTTTTGAATCATTTTTGAAATAACTTGAAAACTCAATTCACTTGTCTCAATAAACAGTATTACACATCCATATTATCCATTTTTAACAACGTTACCTTACATACCTCCATTTTTAACTTGTTTAATGAAAAACTGGATTTTGAGAGATTCAATGCAGATAATAATAATTTTCTATCCAAATAAATAAATAATTATTTATTCGATTCTCTTTCTCTCTCCCCTATTATAACAAAGACTAAATCAAGTAGTGATTTAAAGCAAGTAACTAATTATTCGCAAATTCAGTTTTGGGTTCATACTTTGTTAGCAACTTCCCAGGAGCATTCAAACACACAACGCGCTTCACGTCGTGCAGTCTTACCGTTATCCATCCGAACTACTTCTGTTTGTTCCATATCCACTCCTGCTAATGCTTTTGCAACTTTCGTTCTTGATAGCGATCGAAGTAAATGTCCCCTCTGCGCCATAATTTTCAGTAATGCCTGAAAATGAATGTTTTTAGAAAAATTTTTCATAAACTCCTGTATAAATAATACGAAATTACAATGTCAAGCAAAGCTATGCATATGTTTTCAAACTTTAAATAATTCGGGAATTCTCGTCATACAGAATAATGCATTAGTTCATTTTTACTTATGAAAGCAATTAATAATATAGCTGCTCTGAGATGCTTATTTTTGAAAAATAAGTTCAAGTTTTTATCAGCAAATTTTATTTACAGATATAATTTATCTTCCTTAAAAAGTTTTCTGAAGTTTTTTGCATAGGCCTGATATATATTTCGAAGTTGGCACAATAGAAATACTGAAAAATGTACACTTTCATATTCATTCCCGACAGTGAGATTTTTAAAAGAATCTGGAACACCTGCAAAATACGATTTCCAGGTGAATTTAAGGTAAAATTCAAAATTCTCAAAAAATAATGTGAAGATGGCAAATGAAGACACACAGAAATATCCATTACTGTGCAATTTACCAGTCTCCAGCTGTACAGAGATATCCTTTTTATTTTAATTAATTTAATTTGTTTTCCGATTATTTCTAGAAACTTATGAAAATTTTTTTGGAAAACGTTTTTTTTTGTTCATCTAATAAATGTTAAAGAGGTAAACCTAATCACAGTAATATATTCATAATCTTAATGAACTAAACATAATTTGCATTACTATTTTAAATCAAATATATCTTTTGTCAAAAGGAATCAAAATAATAAATTGACAATTCAGAACAATTAAATTAAATTAAACCATGAACTAATATATATATATATATAATATATATAATTTTTTACCATATATATATCATGAAATTGAAATTTAGTTTTGATATTTATTAAATTTATTAATTGGTTATAATATAGTATGCAAAAGAATGCTTGGATAAGTATTTTATCAACAAGTAATATTAAGAATCCCCAAAAATGGTAAACATTTCAGTTAGAAGAAAATTTATAAAGATGACATTTTTTACAAAACTTCATGATGAATATTTTATTCCGATCGAAGACTAATTCGTGCATTCATGACAACAGTAAAAAGGCCTTAATTTTACGGAAATGATAATGATATACAAATGAAAAATTTTACTTAAAGTTTAAAAACATTGCTAAATTATTACTCAGTCGACTGATTACAAACGATTAGCACTGATTGAGACTAGCTTATCAATGGTAAACAAGTACTTGGAACGTCAGGCAATATTTCAAACGGTTGTTTACAGAGAAATGCAAAAGTTGTTTCTTCCACTTTTAACGAGAAAATTTTTGAACCAGTTTTCTAGTTAGCGATATGCTGTTATCACTAGCAAGCTTGCATGAAGAAATATTACTCTATCGATTATTAACACTGATTTATAGTTAGACTAATATTGAAAATTTTTAAAAATAACAGGATTTTCTAAATGGTTTACAATTAAAAATTGAAGCCTTCAAATTTATAAAATCGAAAACAGAAATAAGATGAAAATAGCAATTTAAGGTAGCAAAAATTAGTTAACAAAAGGATTTTTTAAAATGTAAAATCTGATTACTACTACTATTTATACCATTTAGCATCCATCCCTAGAGTGTGCAAAGCTAAAAAGTGTTTGCAAAATTTATCACTGATACTAATTCTGATGCATTTTCTGATCTTGCAGTCTTTACTATTTAATTATTTTTCAGTAACTGGCAAAAACTTACTTCTTTATTCTTATAGGTTTAATTTTAATTGTAGTCAAATAATGCGGTCTGAAACTATCATATTGTTACTGTAGTTTTTCAGTCCTATTTTATTTGCGACGTCAAATTGGCTAAATTAAATTTCATCACGACAAATGCTGGAATGTGAATATAGTTTCTCTGATTTATTACAACGATATGAAAAATTATCATTTTATTTAAGCTACGTGAACACAAATAGGGCTTGCAAAAAATAGCAGGAAAGAATAATTTAAATATTTGAAAATTATTAAATATTTTGATAAAAGAAGTTTTTGAAAATTAAAATTACATCAATCTTTTGCTTTTTATGTTATCACAATTATGAATAATCGTTGTTTATCTTATCGATTGCTGTAAAACAAAACTAAATATCACAAATGTTGCAGAGAATAAAGAATTTCAGATGGCTGCGTTTAATTGTCTTAATTATGGCTAAATCTTGAAGAAAGTGAAAAATGTGGCAAAATATTTGAAAAATTCAAAGCAGTAGTGTTCTGGACAAAAGTAAATAGAAGACTCTTTTGATTAAAAAAAGAATATCAGCTAGAAACATTGTAATTTTTGCTTTGAAAATTAATTATTTGCTGTTATTTATTACCACCAATTAATATTGAAAAAAATAATTAAGGTGTTATGTACTTTCTAGAAATGATATATTTTGAGATCAGTAGTCTTTAATTTATTGTTTTATTATTAAAAAAACAGTATTTTAATAAAATATTCTGCATAATAATAATTGTAAAAGGCAAAAAGCAGTTCCGAATCTAGCTAAAACTTTAAATTTCACTATTCGATGCAGAAAAAATGCAAATTTTAAGATAATAAAAAAAAATTAAAAAACACTAGCTAAATTTTGATGTAAAACTCGAGGACTAGTTGCATTGATCAAAAAGTTATCTATCAGTTCTTACTTAATATAGAGGTTTTGCATAATTAAAGTGAAGTAATTCATCTCATGCATAAGATATTAACATATCATTGCTTAATTTTATCAATAATCCGGTATACAGTACCTAATACTTTTTCTAACATTACTTGGGAATGTGTGCAAAAAATTTTGTATTCGTTGTTTCTGAAATTTGAATTTCTTCTCTCATAAAACTTTAGTCATCTTTTTTTTTGCTTTTCGTATAGTAATTAGAAAATTAATCTGGCCTGTCAAATAAACACACAGAAAGAAACAAAAGAAATTTTTTTACGAGGGAATATTCAAAATTAAGCTCAATGCTTTTTTTCCTTCTTTTTCGATTCTTTCAAACGTGGCATTGAAATTCATCTTATCTACATATTTGGTAATTTTTACTTCTCAAAATTTATTGATATAATTGATAATTTTTTTTTCTAATTAGGTTACTTTATTTACAGAATGTGCGCAATTTTTGAATGGTTTATGTGAACCGAAAATTGGAAAAAACTTGGTATCATCCATGTTTACTGGACAGCAATTGGTTTCTTCGTAGTATAGCATAAGTTCTTACTTCTTGAAGTTTATGTTTATTGTTGTCATCACTTAAATACTTTTCATTAAAAAAGTTTTTATTCATTCATTTTGTTCTGTTTGATGAATTGTAATCATAATAATGTGATTTTTTTCCTAGTCTTAATCATTCTTAATTCATTAATTAAATTAGTATATCTGTAAAGCATAAATTATAAAGCATATCAGTTCGAAATGTTTTTTGAATATTTAACACGTCAAGTAATCTTTTGCAGAACCCCTAAGCATATTTAAGGTATTTTAGAGAATAGATTAATTTTAAGGAAATTTATTTTTACGAGTTTCTCAGATGCACATGACCTCAAATTCTGTTCAAATCTACTACCTCTCATTTTGGGTAGTCTGTATAATTGTAACAATTACTCATGACTTTTCATTTGTATAATGGAAGCTGTTTAAATTCGTTGCAAATTCATTTAACACTGCTTTTTTGTCAACACAATGCCATTCAAAAAAAACAAACAAACAAACCGAAAATATTTGATCACATATGTATATATAATTATTCAAAAGATAAACATGCTGCATAAATACTTGGATATTTTATATAAACTGAATTTCAGTCCTTGAAGGTTTCTGTAAGCAAAGAGTTTTGATCTGAAAACTTTTTTAGAGATAATCTTCAAGCTGGAAAAGTGCATTTAAGCACACATTTTATCAGCTAAATTAATTAGCAGTTTTTCATTTTCAGAATGATCGTATTGGAAACAATTAATTTACATGAATTATTTTCGTTCTTCAGTAATACTCTACAATTCACCAAACAAATTCCTGTTATGAGCCAAATATTTTTGAAAGCATCTTTTAATTGGTTCTAAATATTTCAAGCATTTCGTATAATTTGATGTTTTATCAGGAATTCCATCTGCTTTACAATATGAAATGCAGTTCGAAATAACACCGCTCTGTTGACAGCACCTTGTGTGATCATGACGAGATGATGCACAGTTCCACATCTCAGTTACTGTTAATCCTTTCGAGCCACACTTTGATAGGAAAACCATTGCCTGAAATTACACACTTTAATACCTTATAATCAAGTACGTTGCTGTATTAAATCTTTATTGTAGTGGAACTGCTTACAACTTTGAGGCCTTTTCTACTATTTTTGTAGCATTTTACAATATTTTCATTTAAAAATTAACATTAAAAGAACTGAGGACATCAAAACTGCAATATTTAGTTTTGCAGTCATGGTCTGCATCAGTTAAATGAGCACAACACTTTCGAAGACGTGTATCAGCAATAGTTTCTTCTCGTGTTCTTAGTTTACGTGAGTTTACGTAAGAAGTGTCGAGGCGCACAGCAGGCCGTATAAAATTCGTCAAAGAAAGCTGACACTGCGTAAAACCAAAATAGAGCAATAATATATAAAATAATATACCAAAAACCGATACCATAATGCTGTGAAAAAAAAATACATGATGAGATTAAGTTATAAAAGATATGAAAATTACAAGATCAAATAGCTTGACAAAATTATACGTAGTATACAAAGTTTGCTAGTGAATTAAAGAGTTCAGGAATAATGCAAAACTGAAAATGGCATTAAATTTATTCCTTGTTTTAAATCAAGTAAAGTATTACAGAAGTTTGAACAGATAACAAAATCGTTTCAATAATTTGAAGCGAAATGTAACATATTCACAACAAATATGAATAATTATAAGCATCGAAAATGTTTATCATTTGAATAATCGCTTACTATTTTACATCTGTGTCACTGATAAATGATAAAGAAAAATGAAGAAACTATAGTCAGTTATTCATAAGCATCAGAAATTGTCAAATTAATAGAGTGCTTGGACTTGTTTATTTGATTTTCTCTACGACACTGCAATCAGTAGTTGACATAATACAGCAATGGAAACTTTATAACACCACACAGCAGTTGTGAGCAAAACTATCACACATAATTTTAATTCTATCGCAGAAATAATGTACTACAGTAGCTGTATCCAAAATCATCTACACACATATTGGAACTGAAATGTAATATCTATATATTAAGGATAAGCTTGATTGATTATTGATAATAATCACTAAAATTGCTATTTTTAATATAAATATATAAAATTAATTAGCTATTTTCAATATAAATTTTGAGATTAAATGGAATGCAATGAAAATATGACAGTAATGGAAAATTGGTGATAACTGATTACAAGAGATTAAATTAAATTGTACGCAAGTATTTGCTCGATAATTAATGGTAACTAATAGCGTTTGTAGTTGATACTTCCTGATATAAACTTGTGTAGCAGAAAATACACTGAACTAATATATATATAACATATACAGACTGCTTTATGCATGTGAAAATTGTAAAATTTTCTCAGTGAAAAAAATCGGTCAGTAATGAAATAACGAAAAATGTCATAATAATTCAGTGAGGCAAACATTTCCGCCACAATTTATTTGTATACTCTATGTAATTTGAAGCAAATATTTTCAAAATGCAAAGGTGAGCAGTAGATATGATTATTTATCCACTGCATTTTCTTTACTAAATGGTATTAATGGTATTAGTGGGATAGAAATTTCTCATTTTGTTGCATAAATTCTGTATGTTTCAAATCACAGCCACGCAATCTGAAGTAGTCTTTAGTACCACTGATTATTGCATAGACTAATTAGAGGTAAGGTATTTAGCTCTTTTAGATCAGAAAAAAGAAGTACTATTCATTAATTTACGTAATTTGGATAATATGTCCTATACGGTTTGTGACAAGTTAAACTTCACCTTTGTTTGCATACAAAAGATACTTTCCATACAAATTAATATCTTATGAGCTCAGTTTTTTATTAAATTTTTATCTTATTTATTTCAAGAAAGTTTTTCATATTCGTTTTGGCATTCTGCAATTCAGTTGAAAATAAAACTTAAAAGATTTAATGGTTAATGTGCAAAAAAACAATATGCTATACACAGGTTGCTACATGTACAAATAAAAAACGAAACTTTCAAATTAAACATAAAATTAAATTTAAAACTTTACTCTTCTCACTTTTCGCATGTTTACATTAGGAAATCTTTGCATCGTGCAGTTCTCTCAGTGTTACTTTTTTCGAGATTCGTTTAATAAGTTTTTCTCAATTACAGTTAGAATAAATATGTCAGTAAAAGTAAACGATGAAGATGATATCGCAGTACAGCATTTTCGGGAATATTTACGAATTAATACAGCGCATCCAAATCCTGATTACGGTGAATTATTTGCTAATTACAGTACATATTTCACTTTGTTATGGTGCCACATTGTTTCTTTCCTTATTATTATAAATCATTCTTGAAACTGATTTTAGATGAATTTCTTGAGATATAAAATACAAAAATTGAAATAGAAGTCAAAATGTTTACCAGTTTTCATCACCAGGAATGTTTGTTATGATGAGCGTAATTAATTGGGTAACTAATTTGTCTACTATTTACTTAACTAGTTTTCGAAAGGCTTGTTATGATAACTAATAAGATTTTCACATTTCTATCAGTGAAAAGAACTTGAAAGATTGCACATTTCAGAAAAATGCACCAAATTTTTATGTTCTTTGGCTGACGAACTTAATTTGGAACGATCTGTTCACGAAGTACGTCATTTTATTGTTAAAATTGTAAATTACTCAAAGTCAGCACGAAATAGTCTACATTTCATTCACTCTTTTGATTATTTTTTATATCTCTACATGTAATTTGCGAAAATAATCTCAAAATTGTAATGAAAAAGAATAGTTGTTTGAAGACTAAGACAGTTCTGCATTCAGTTTCTTAATAAAAATAGCCTCCATTAATTAGTATTTCTACAGTATTTATCAAGTATAAAATATAGACACGTAACGTATTTATTTTTAATTTCATGCAATTAGGACAAAAACCTTATGTTTGCATGGAAGAATTCTAATTAACATGAATGATTTGAAACCATCATACGAAATATTTTACTTCTGATAAGTGGTAAATAATTGTCATGCACGAATTGTTTACTTATCACTTTTTAACTATAATTTTCAGTTACATTTTAAACTAATATTTTGTTATTCGAGGATAATATTTTAGTGCATTCCTGGTAAACCATTTGTAATAATGACTTTACGAGGTCAAAACGATTCACTCCCGTCAATAATGCTCTATTCACATACTGATGTTGTCCCTACACCTGATAAAGTAAGAGTCATTTTACTTGCAGAATTACTAAAAAGTTGTTTCAAAATTATTTACTGTGCAATTTCTTTGCAGGAGAGTTGGAAATTTAACCCATTTGCTGGAGTTAAAGATATAGATGGGAAGATTTATGGTCGGGGTGCTCAAGATATGAAATCTGTCGGTATACAATACATTGAGGCGGTGCGACGCTTATTAATTAAGCGGCATCATGGCTTTCTACGAACAATACATATCGTTTGGGGCCCAGGTATTTATGTTGTTTTCTGTTGCTGCTCTCTATATTTTTCACTTTGCTTTATAAGTTCAGTTTGACTAGTTTGGATTCAGTATTTTCATATTAATTTTAATTTCATTGGTAATTGGTGCTTAACTAATTTTTGCTTGTATTTTCAAGAAAGTATTTTTATTGTTAAGTAAAAAAATTTCAGATGAGGAAATTGGTGGATCCGATGGGATGGAAAAATTTGCATGTAGTGAAGTGTTCTCAAAACTCAATGTTGGTTTTGTCTTAGATGAAGGCATGAGCACTGAGAACGAAGCATTTAAAGTATATTATGCAGAACGATGTCCATGGTGTAGATTTTTAAACTCATTCGCTTCATTTTATATTTTTGGGTTCTATATTCATGTCGTTATCGATTCGAAGTTCACTCTATAGTGAAACATGAAAATGTTCAATCTTTGTTTTTTAGGGATTGAAATTAGTTGTAAAGGTTGTGGTGGACATGGATCCAAATTCATTGAAAATACTGCCGCCGAAAAGGCTGTGCGTTCATTCTCATTTTTTTGAAATTACGTACATGGGATTTTAAAATTAAATTTTTATTTCTACAGAAAAAATTTTCGGATCTCTTGATTCAAACAAAAATATTACAGCAAAATTTCATTTTATATTCTCACTTTTATCCGATGAATATTTCTTTTCAGCAGAATATAATTAACTGCTTTTTGGAATATAGAGAGCAACAAAAAAAGTTGTTGCGTTCGAACGAGGACTTGAATCCATCTGATGTCATATCTGTCAACTTAACAAAAGTCGAGGTATATTGTAAACTTTTTTTTTGCTATTATTGAAGAATTTTCTTTTTTCGCGAAGTGTGTGATGAAAAAAGTTTACAGATTTGCAATGTTCGCTGAAGGTATTAGTAATGAAGCATTATATTGAGTGAATCTTTTTATTGGTGAATGAAAATATTATAATTCAGCACACAGTGTTGTCCCTGCACTTGTTAAGAAACAAAGTTCAGTGTAATAAAGATGCAGTATAATATTTAATAGATAATAAATAAGATATTTAGTTGTTAGCGCTTTTTTTCTCTTGAACCCTTATTTCTCTGGTTTGACAGGACTAAAGTAGTAATGATCTATGGAGACAAGTTTAAGTTCTCTTGCCCTAACATCGACTTTAAACTAATAAAGTTACGAGCAGTTTATGACTAATTTTGATTAGTATGCTCTGGTCAACTAAATTTGCATTGATATACCTTCATCTATAACACTTTTGTAAGAGAATAAAATTTCAGGGTGGTGTTCAAATAAATGTTGTGCCCACTGAAATAAAAATCTGTATGTTTATTTCGGATTTTCTTATGATTCTAAAGTAAAACATTGGAAACAAACATATGAAGTGTTTGAGGTTTATATTGTTGATACAAAGCTCATAAAAAGCTCTGTACCAAATTTTTGTTTCTAAAGCTGTGGTTAACAGCTGTTGTAAACTACAAGTAATAATAAATGCACGCTACCGAGCAATTGGTATTGTATTTATCAAGTCAGGCATCTTCTCTGAAAATAGTTTGAAGTATAACAATTTGGCTTTATATATTAGAATGAATTAAGCATATCATCTGTATTTTCATGGTTCGACCTTCGAGTGCCGCCAACTTACGATTTTGAGGTTATCTTTTTTATGAGGTTTGAGCAACATACTGTTTATGCCGTCGAGATAAATATTGTCTGAGACGTCGGTTAATCAATAACCGAATTATTGTTGCTTGATAACCGCTAATTCTTTTTGACAGAATTCAGTTCAATAGCTGGATTCTTCGGCATCTTTTTACTATGCACTGGCTTCTCAAATATCAATCTTGTTTCCAGTTTCTGGAAAACCAGATCAAAGAATGGTGTTCCAATGCAGGCAAAGATGTGACGTACTCATTCATAAAGGTAAAGGTATAAATGCACGGGAGGTATTTTTACCCATTCTTTATATTTTAATTTTTCATCCCATTCACTTGGTTTTCTGAACTACCATTATTCCAGAACACGAGAATAAAAGCAATGACTCCGATAACAGATAAAGATCCTTGGTGGCGTGCATTCTCTTCAGTTTTCAAAGAATTGTATATTTTTAAAATGTCTATCTAGTTGAAAACCCTTGCTATATCATTTTATTTTGACCGTTGACTTCGTCATTTGCATTGCAGAATTCATTACGCTTCCCCATATTCATAGTGTCAAGTTTTTTTATTTAGGAATTTTCCGATCTCAGTAGAAATATTTCCGGGATCCACCGATTCTCGCTTCATCAGACAAGTATGTTAATCTTAGGAACTCTTTTTTTTACTTAATGAGGGATTTTATTGAAAAACAAAACTCAAAGTGCAATTGACAGGAATAATTCTTGCAGAAAGTTAGTCTCCACCACTACACATTCTTGCAAAGTGGTGTACCTTTATTTTCAGATGGGAATATCGTCAATTGGCTTTACTCCAATCAACAAATCACCTGTACTTCTCCATGCCCATGACGAATTTGTAACCGAGGAAACCTATTTGAAGGGTTTAAAAATCTATGAGAAACTGATCGAAAAACTAGCTAATGTGCCGCAATAAAACTTATTTTCCGTTCTTAATTTCAAGTTCCGAGATCATTTAAAACGTGCATAACTCTCGGTGGCATCAAATGAACATTTGAAAGAAATGTTAATATAATATGCACATGAGAAGTGTACTTGTTTTCACTGCTTTTCGTTTTTTCGCGTTCCAGCACTTTCCTTGATAAATGGTGAATAAAGAAAGATATCTTTGTTGATACATCATTGACATCTCAAATAACGACTGTTTCTTCAGGCTCATAATTGTAATTTAACTAAGATCAAACAGTTGCCTTAATAAGTGTGGTTGATAAAACTGCAGTGCTTAAGTGGTTCATTTTGGAAGGATTAGAGATTTGTGTTGAAGCTGCGAGACAAGTTAGTAATAATTAATAAGCATAAGTAAAGCACGAAATCATACATGCAAATAGGTCTCGGTTTTATCAATTGTACGTGGGATTTTCGTCAAGTACGATTGCATCAAGCACTGCTATTGCAAGACAATTCTGGGCCGACCGTGAAATTCAGACTCGCAAAAGCAGATGGGATGATTGGTGAGAGTGAGGGTGACTATTTTGTATGTAGTGGGTGCAGTTTGATGGGGTCTTCATCATTTCAAATTGAAAACATTGACATCAACATGAGGTAGCACTCAGTATACGAATTATAGTTATTAGACTGTTGTTAGAAAATACTGGGTTCGATACATTGTCTGATGCATCTTATTGTTGTTCTCATTCTGTCTTTATTTTCATTTATTGAACATGTCTATAAGATTTTTAAACTGCAGCTATGCTATGAGCTCTCGTATAAAGCGCATATTCATTAAATTGCATTTTTATGTTGGTCGTCCGAAATTCTTTAGAATGATATCGTGATAATTAAATAAATTTCATTTTGTTTTTAGTCTGTGAGAAATGAATTTGATTCGAACAGCACTAATGACTGCCGGGACCATGCAACAGGTTACTTTGAAATATATTGATATTGATGTAGTCAAGATTTTTCAGCTATGTGTGTAATCATAAAAATGTAGAGATACATAATCAGCATTTTGAATATCCATCGTTCACATGAATACTTATATGTAGTGGCATTTCAGAAGAAGAATTATGATCCAGGAGTGGTCGGGATGAATGTGAGTTCATTATCAATCTATTGATTGTTGGTAGAAAGGAATCATCTTTTTTTCATCATCTTTTTTATTAGTAAATTCATTTCTGACCAACAAAGTAGTATTGACATTATTGAACTCGTTTAGACGCAGTTGGACGTGTAAAACAAATTTCATCATTCTAATACTGTCTGATATTGGCATTGATAGCGATCTTAGTTGCTTTCATTAATAGAGATAGATAATTAATTATAAAGTCAAATAGTTGCAGAAATTAGTATTGATTGAAAGTTTAAAAATAGGCTTTTTTGTGTTTATGAAAGTTTCATCTAGTTGAAATAAGGTAGAAATTATCTTTTAAAGTTACAGTGCATGTTTCTATTTCTCTCTTACTAATCATCTTGATTAATTGTGCAAATCCATGAGCGGTTGGCATTTTGAGTCATCATGACTTATAACAAACAAGACAGCCATGTTAATTTTTTTTAAATTGCAGCTTCAACGCCAAACGATGAAGCAACGTGATTGGCTCAAAAATCCTCTTGTTTTATCGGGTACTTTATTAGCTTGGATAGCATATATGGGATATTTGAAACCCCATTCTGAAAGAATTTCATTTGCAGAACACAGGTAATAGCTGTTTTGCTGTAAATTTTTAGACTAGACCTTTTTATCAATCTATGAAAATGGTTTTCTCAAAAAAGTCTTTAGATCCTAATAGTTTTTGAGTCTTTTGTTTAATAACAATTGACTCGGTACATTGCTTGATTCATTTTTCCATACATGTGGTTGTAAATAACGGTTTGCAAAATCTTTCACACTATCGTTTAAAACCAATGTTTAGTACTTTTAAGAATGCTGTAATTTGAATGTGTAGATAATTTAAGTTTTTGTTGAATTTAGAATTGAAGTCCAGCTGCTTTTAAGATCAGATTTGAAAAAGTAGATGTTTAGCTCTCTCATTTGCGCAATATTATTTTACTGCTCTATGTTGTTAGTGGTCAGACATTGTATTCATTGAAATTAGTATTATCTATGCAACATTTTCGGTTACTCTTGTTACATTTTCGTATATTAATTCAGATTCCGCATATTTCTTCAAGCGTCTTCGTTTGTTGTTGTAATAACATGTGCTACAATGGCTAAATATTATCAGCGAATGGAAGAAACTCATTAACGAGCTAGTAAGATGTTGAATGGCGACTCTTTTTTCAAGCAATGACGACGATAACATGTGCTAAACTTTTTCTTATGCGTTTTAGGGCCTAACTAAAGTCCAATGTATGCATGTATATATAGAAATTTTGTCCTTAAATATTGAGTTACTTAATAAAATTAAACTATATTTCAACTATCGTATCACATTGCTAAAATCATGCCATTTTCAAACATAGGTTTATTTTGTAGCTTCCATGATATTTCTTTTATATAATCCTGAAGTTTAGCTTGGCATTTATTGAATCATTTTTTTCATCTTATATAGAAGACGCATTGTGGCGTTTTACTAAAATATTCGCGGATACACATACATTGGATATTCTTTTTAAATATGTAGTTGTAGAAATATAAAATACTTTCATGTTATTTTTCTTCCTTATTTTCTTTATAAAGTGCTTCGCAAATTTTTCAAGTTATAGCACATCAAATCATTAAACGTATTGTTTCTTTTTCCTGTTTAATTCATCAAACATTTCGAAATTCATATTACCCTATTTTCCGTGAAGCACTAATTTTCGTATTTTTGTGGTGATTGGGAACGAAAACTCAAAAAGTTTATTTTGGTGGTATATTTCTAAAGCTTTTTTGAAAATTACCAAGTGGGGGTTCTCTTCTTTTTTAAAAAAATTTAGAAGTCATTGTTTTCAACTGTTTTCCTTTTACCGGTCGCTTTTCTAGTATGTATAAAAGCTAAGAATTTTTATGTCATCACCATTACTTTCAATGTGATGCTCAGAATGGTGCGGAAAATGTACGCGATGGAGAAACCGGTCGGACTTACCATTTATTTTTTGAATTTATGAAGAGCTGTAATACATCAGTTGGTTGAAAGTAACCCCTGTAAACACATCATAGTCAACAGTTAGTGCGAGCTTTGCATGATATTCTCTATAAGCAGTAGAGGTGATATATTAAAGCGTCCATTAATTTTGAAAGAGGACAAGTACATTAAAGAGTGAGAAGCTTAAGTGAGTATTCTTTTCTTAAAATATTAGGATTCCTTCTAGCATTCCTTTTGTTTTATTTCGCATTTTATTCTAATACTACATTTGAGAATCATGTGTGAGAAGACTAGAGAAGGTGAGAATGATACGAAAGTTGAAATCTAAATTGAAGTATGTAAATTTTAGGCCATCAGCTTTGATTCTAGTGCTACCGGCAGAAATGTGAGTTTGTATATAAACCGTTATTACGTAACAAAAAGTGTTGTTGCCAATTTTTTCTTGATCGACTTGTTTTGTTGGTAAAGTTTGTTTTCTTTTATCCTTGTGGCACTGGTTTATTGTTAGTGACATAGTATGGGCTTTGTGGTCATGAGAGTTTGTCCTTAATGCTTGTAGATAGATTATAAAATGTTAAAAAAACGAGATGATTATCTGAAAAACCCTCTCGTCCTTGCCGGGATTGTGCTGCCTTGGACTGCAATTATTAGATTTTTGAAACCTCATTCGAATAGGGTTTCATTTGCTGAACACAGGTTAAGATTTCGTGCATTTTCCTTTTTGTCTTATTTTGCAGTTAGAGCATATAATAAAGATAAACGAAGTAGATTACTTTTCCCCATCTGGACAATTGATTCCTATAGAGAATTAAAATTGCGAGAAGCTGCAGTATTAGATGTGGTAGTTCTGAAATGCAATAAACTTTTATTACAATTTCAGATTTCGTATCCTTCTTCAATTCAGTACATTTGTGATTGTCATTTCGGCAGCTACTCTAATGCGCATGCGTAAACCAAGATATTGAGTTGAGGTGCTCATAAAGCATTAAAATAGTGAAAAGTATGTACATTATTATATCAGTATTCAGTGTAATGAACTCATTTAATATGTTTGCTTCTGTATTAAAGCTTATGAAGTGTCATATTGTATATTTGTCGAATAAATTGGCATAAACAAGAAGTGTCAATTTTTTGAATGTGTGATAAAATCATACGCCTGTTATAAAGTTTGTGGCTTTATTTATTTATTTTGTTTGATCATTTAAGGAAAATATTTGTATATGACATATATGGAAAAGGTATGTATTCTGTTGTTGATCAAAATCTCGTTCATTACTCCCTTGTTTATCATTTTTGACTGAGAAGAAATATATGTTATGGAATTACAGTCCTTTTTTATTGGCTGGTTTTGTTATCAAATAAATAATGTTACTGTAGGTTCTATTGCTTATTTGATAACCGGTTCAAACTTGCTAGTACTAAAACAACTTTGTGAGTTGAAAAACTTTCCTCTCTGTATATTATTAGAGTTCATTTTTTACTCTTACTCAAAAGGATTTGATATTGTAGAGTTTTGGTTGACTTTTTTCTCTCTGAATTCAATATGCCAGGAAGTCAGTCCGATGATGTTAGTGAAGAAGATGCCACTGAACTGAAATTTCCTAAGGGTTCGTTTTTTAAAGTAGATGGTTAGGTGCTCTGTAGATACTAAAGCAAATTTGTGAGTGCAAAAAGATTCATTTTTGTATATTAATATGGTTCATTTTTAATTTTATTCAAAGAAACTTAGTGTGGCAGTTTTTAACTGAAATTAAGAAACTTATAGAAGCATTTTATTAATAAATCGAAAATAGTTTCTAGTTTTTTGTAATGGTACTTTCTCTTTTATTCTATTTGAAGATATAAATGTGTAAGTATTGATGATGTTGTGACTGATATTTAAGAATTCGAACAAGCTGATACTTTGCTTACATCAGAAGTATACTTACTCTTAGAACATCGACGTCAGCAAAGTGAGCAGAAGGTTGGGTTTTCAAGCGATTTACTACCTTGGATTTTCAGGCTGTAAATTGTCTATGTTCCTATGTTATTTAAAGCTGAACTTTTCAAAGTAACTTTTGAAATTCGGAAACGGATGTTCTTCTGTAGGTATTTATTGCACTGTGTCTAGGGAGTATAATTGGTGATATTAATTCAAATTAGTATTTAGGTTATGTTTCAAATCAATGTTATTATGCGAGGTATAAATTTTCTAAAATTGTTCAGATAGCATCGTTTCATTTGCTGAGTCAGATTTGCTACTTGCAGTTATTTTTATCATAATGTTATAGTAACTTGATTTTCTGCGAAGTGAGGTCTTCAAAAAAGACCACTTTTTACATCTCAATAATAGCCTCCGTATATAATTCGTAGCTTTAGTTTTGGGAGCACTGCTTTTATTCTCTCAATAGAAGACATATTTTTTATTTACATTATTTGTTCTGTATGCTCAATAATTATCATTTAGAAAAAGCTTCCAAAGGAATTTTTCAGGAGGAAATCGATGAAATGAGCGACGTCTTCATCAAAACTTTAAATTACACACGACGGATGGCACGATTCAAAAATCGAGAAACTATTAGAGCCGTCAGGACGTAAGTATCCTATAGTAAATTTTATCACCTTACGGTATGAAGAATATGCACGAAGGAATTTGCTAGAGGATCAAGCAAAATTTTTCGTTTCCTAGCAATTGTTATAGGAGAATGGAATTTGGTACTATCCAAATTGAGACAATATATTTCATCCTTCCATTTTTCTTGATTTTGCATTTAAATATGGAGTATTATGTAAACATTTGAATCCTTGATAAATCTTATGCACAGTTGTAAAGAAAAAAAGGATTCAATAAAGACGTTACATAAAATAACTTTCGAAAATATGTCCATAGATTAAAATGTCTTTTGCACTGTAATTCCATATGCAACTTCAAATTCTTGTAACATTTAATTTCTTATTTTGTTTGGAAATCATGCAGTGCAGTAAATCGTATTGCAGTTTACTTGCTGCGAAACCGCTTCACAAATTTGAAGTTGCACAGATCGCCAATCTTTGTCCGGAAACATCTGAGGAAGCAAAGGCACTAATTCTTAGGTTTTTAACTTTTTCAATTCTCCATTTTTCGATTTTTTCTGTGAATACAACTGAATTGATTCTTACGTAATAGCAATCTCAGGTCGTTATGTATGTCAGTGCATTGCAGTCTGGAAAATAAGATGGAAGATGATGAACTAGACGAAGTATTGAAAGATCTGCACAGCAAGAAAACATTCCAGTAGAAACATCGCGTACTTTTTTACTTTGAAGGTTTAGAGATCATGTTGTTCAACACTGCTTTCGTCTTTCTTTTTGTTGTTGTTGTGAAATATGAACTTCATGAACGGACTGTTCAGTTTTGACACAATGTTTTTTGTTTCTATTTGCTTTCTGGTTTATGGATAATTAAAGATATTTCTTGCTGTTCTGGTTCGGTTATCAATAAAGTACCCAGTATTATTGAGCCGATTATTTATAAATATTAATTAAAGAAGTAAAACGAAATTCACATTCTCTGGACACTCATCGGATTACATCTCTTTTGCTTTAGTTTTTATCATTTCTAAAGATGTGATATAGGAGTAGATACTTCAAATTCATTGTTTCATGGCTGAGGTTAAAAGAAAGTACTGGATCAATTTCTTCATGGGTTCAGGATGTTTAATGCTCCATATTCTCGTCCTTTGGGTCCTACTTTAATAACTGTTCAAATCCAGAAAGTGCTAACTTCGGCAGTGTGGAACATTTGCCAGTGTGGTCCAAGTACTGAATGAATAAAGCTGTAATTATTCATGTAATTGAGTGGAGATGAGATGGTAAACTTGAACAGATTAAATTAATTAAAATCACGTTTGCTTTCCACTTAAAATACTTAAGAAACTTAGAGTACTTCGTTTTCCTAGTAACTAACGTAATTAATTTGAAATTTTAATCCAGAATAAAACTAAAATTTGTGTAAATTTCATTTCAGTTTTGCTTTTTAAGGCCAAAATACGATTTTGCGTACATCCAAAAAACAGACTACAATTTCCATATGACTGCGTTGGTTAATCCAGAATAAAACTAAAATTCGTGTAAATTTCATTTCAGTTTTGCTTTTTAAGGCCAAAATACGATTTTGCGTACATCCAAAAAACAGACTACAATTTCCATATGACTGCGTTGGTTATTCCTATGGATAGCAAACAGTATCAAAAAATAATTCATCCTGAGTATTAAATATTAAGAGATAGAAAAAAGGAGGCAAAGTATAAAGAATAATTCACCACAAAAGTTTGCATCAACCTATGAAAAGGTTCTGGAATGAATTATATGAGTAGTTTAGAAGTGCTTCATTGCAAGCGTCAAAGACAGTAAAGCAACGGACATCGAGGTTAAAAGTAGTAGACGTTTGTAGTGCATCATGTTAGCAAAAATGATGGACCTAGCAGTTCTTTATAATACTACATTTTATTAGTTTTTGGAGAATCGTTTTGATACTTTCCATTAGTTTTAATTGTGCTGTGAAGGAAATCTTTGCATATTTTCTTTTCACGATTTACTCTAAAAAATATAAATCCTGAAGTATTCATCAAGAAGTCCCTTCTCGCTTCTTCTCTAGTAATTGTCTTAAACCAATCACTGATTTTAAAAAAGTGTTTTTTATCAAAGTAGTTTTCAAATGTATTTTAATAAAATCAAAATGGATTTTATAGGATGACTTGATAGTGTAATCAACCCTAAGTATATCTCTCCACTTTTCAACAATGTGCAGTTTCAAGTAATAGCTATTAAACTTTGATAAACATCGGCGACCATTTACAAACTGAAATCAAATATGAACCTCTAGCTTAATCTCGTACTGATATCATTCATTCCACTCTATCACCCCGAATCTACGTTTAGATAATATTAATTTTGTTCTGCATGAAACGACATCATATTTGTCTCTTTGATGACGCCTTCAAAATTCGCCTACTTCAGCCTAAGTGCACTGATTCAACAATCTAACTTTTGTAATCCCTCTGTTAGCACACAGGGCGGTTGTTTCATTTTCTGATTTCGTATCTGAGCTACTTTACAGATTAGTTCGTTTTTCCTTACGAAACTAAAAATATTCTTTTAACAAGATTAAGACACGGTAGAGAAAAAAATATAATGATTTTATAATCATTCATTAATCATCCATTACTGACAAGAGAAAGGTTAGAAAAACATTTTATTTACAGATAATATCATATAAACCCGTTTCACATTCATACATATTTACATTATGAAGTACTGTTACAAATATTATTGCTATCAACATTAACTTATACAACATATTTACATATTGTCTGTGACTAGCAGATGATTTCATGATGATCTCATCTGCTTCAGATTTATACAACAATAATTTTTACTTACTGTGTTCCAATATCATTGCTTGATTTCGTGCGCTTGTTAGAACCTATTCAAATATCGCATTTATTGACGACGGCCTATATTAATTTTCCTGTCCGCCGTTTTCTTGAGGCTTCTTTATTAAGGGTAGTGATTGTTATATCTACCCACTAAAGCTTGTGCCATACCACACTTTTACTAGGTGTGGTACATAAATGCCTCTTTTTTTTTCTTTCACAAGTTGGAAAAAAACCTTTTCTTAATTTGTGAATCTTCAGGGTATAATTTCAGTACGTCAGCAACCTCATGTTTTTATCGAACTTTCATGATCGAAGACCGCTCTGATTGGAATTTGCTGGATTGGTCGCAGTCGTTATTTCCAAACTTAAGGGGGTTCTCCTGCGACCAAATTAAATAACAACTGCTTGTCGAATATCACTCATAGCACCGAATTAAGTAGAGTGAAAATGTGGATGCTGATTTCCCTCACCATTATTCATCAACACAGAATACTGTGACGGAAATATAGCCAGCAATCTCCGCAGAATATAGCGCACCCAGAATTAGTTTAAGATCAGAATACTTTAATATACCAATCAAATTTTTTAAGCAGTACCGTAGTTTTCATTGAGAGTTCTTCTATCGCAGTATTATTCTCCGAGGCTTGTAAAATCATGTTGGTTGTATTTGCTCTTCATCAAAATTTATTAAAAATTATCGTCGAGTAGCCACTACCAATAGCAATCCATGATACCACTGCTACTGATGCGGTTGAAAAATTCAAGTAGTTGAGGTTCTTCTAGTGCCATGACGCATGGTTTAAGAGAGGTAACAATTCCAATGATCTGTTACCTCTCTGCTTCCTTATTATTTCATGTATCAGACACCATTATCGGCTTCATTAAGTTTCGGGAGATTCTTTCCATCCTCCAATTAATGATAGCTGCCAAACCACTCTCATCCGCGAGACGGGATGTTCTCAAGCACGAAAACTAGTTTTCCTTTTCCGCGCTCTTGTGTAGCTTGGAAAAGAATTCATTTTTTAATTTCATCCCATAATACTGAAAAATGAAACAGCACATTAATTAATGATATAGGATTGGTAACCAAAGAAATATAAAAAAGTAATAATATTACAAGAGACCAAATAATACCCAACTTTACAAAATTAAAACACAAATTATGTAATACTTTGATATAAGTTAAACTTACAATTTAAGATGCTGAAGACGAAACCAGAAGCTCATGTCCCAGTTTCCATTTCAAGTGCTTACTACCTGAAAACAAGTTGTTATCAAGCTTGAAGTGAACGTCTTCACAAGCATAGAAGTTCGCTGCGATGAGAAACACACTTATGAAAGTCAAGGAGCCGAATGTCATGATAGAAGCACTAGTGAGACAGACAAAAACGTAAGAGATGTGACCGAACGCAACCAACCACACGTCTCACAACCGCTAAGTAACTGGCAAATGAAGAAGAGGCAGTCGCGATCTCACTTTTTGGCAAGTTTCCAATGACACGAAATTAAGCAAGCTTGCAGCACTGCTGTCGTTCCTCGGTCTGTTGTCGATAATTGTTGCTGTCTACAACAGGCTGCAATGGAAGCAGCGATGGTAGTCAGTTTTGGAACTTGGCTGATGGTCAATTTCAGTCTGATCTTATCTGCTTGAAGGTGTAATTTCACATGTACTCAAAGTATTGTTATTCCTGAGCTCGTGACAAGAACAGTCAAGCCTCCCTAAAAGTGAGACTTGGATTGTATCTTTTTTACTTTGTGATTAACCGTCGTCTGTAATATGGCATGAATGCGAGCTGTGCTCAGATATATCCTTACATATGTAGGTGGCACTTCTATCATAACATTCTATCCTGTAATTTTCTTGCATAATCTTATCAATTATCATAGGCTGTATACTTCTCATAGCAGCAGACTTATACATCGCAGTTCATTCGTTTTAGTCTGTGCAGTAATTTTTTATCAATTAATAAGTCATTTGAAAAAACGTGGAGATATAGGTTTTGTTTTTGATGCCGTCTTCGGCATATTTATTAGTAACAAAATATTGATTCGTCTAAGTTGTTTTGATTCCGTAAAATTAAGCATTGCAAATTTGAACGTTGTTAGTATTATCGTTTGCTGCTAACAAGTGAGATTAGACTGCCCTAAATTCTCGCATTGTAAGTAAGTTCTGTCTATTTATTCCATTATAGTATCAATAATCATATACAAAAAAGCAATAAAATGGGTTTTTGCAAATATATGCAACTATATTGTACACATATATATAATGTGGAGGTTAATTTTAATCTTCGCTTTATTGGTGCTGGCGCTGGATCGCATTCCGGCACTCTGGCAGCAGTACTTGTACTTATCCCGCGCTCAGATTTGTTGTACTCATCGTCCTTACTTCGTGCTCGTGAAATCCACATTGATTGTCGAAGGGTATACTTTCGAGTGTCTTCTTGCGAACTATCGATTGGATGAATGCCTCGACCTGGTCTGATATGCTAATCTCCTTTGCACAGCGTTCGTGGAAGTTCGTTACAGTCCCATCCCAAGTCATCACATAGGAATTATTTTGGTCCTGAATTTCATCTCTGACCCAAGCTTATTAGCAAATATATTATATTTTTGCTTTTTCTCAGTCTTGATTGCTGTCAACCTGTCTTGACTAGTGATGCCAACCTCAGCGTACCAGAATGTCTGCTCGATCCGCTTTTATTCTAATTGCAGTTCTTACTCGCGTGACGACTCTGATTTTCACGCTCTCGTTAGCAGCGATGCTGAGCCACTTCTTTCAGGAAGAACGGAGTTACTTCTGAAAATTAACACCACAAAAATGCTTCTTCATTACATCAATTTCATTCATGTTCATTAGT